ACAGTTTAGTCTCCAACCCAAAAAAAAAAAGAAAAAAAAAAAGGGGAGCGCCAAAATAACAATTTCAAAGCCACATCAATAGGAAAACATGACAGCACCACCCTGCGCGGTCAGCTTTGTGTAGTGAACACTGGCACAGCATCGCCCTCAACCAAATATCTCAGAGCAGCACTCATAGCGTCAACCTCCCCCCACCCCAAAGAGGTTCTTATCCCTGTGCTTTCGTGGGTCCAACCCCAGCGCTGATGACGCCCGGCAGGTCATCTTGCCCAACCCTGAATAACATTCCAATAGCACCGCCCAGCGCCATTATTACCATGATGCTAACAGTTGCTAAAAGGAAAAAGGGAGAGCTGATATCTTGCTTTTCACAAGCCGCGCCGCCCCATCGGATAATCTGGGTCGTACCATCCTCTTTTCTGATGGTTGTTGCCTGGCATTTGCATACGAAACAGTCATTGTTGGTAAGTCCGCTCTTTGACTCTGACTTCCTATAACAAGCCCCATGTCCTGAACAACCGCCAGTTGCTTCGTTACAAGATGAATTGGTGACATGGCAGGTTGGATTCGGAGACGTTGAACCGGGCGACTGCCTTCTCAACAATGACGGAGATACCATGTCAATTTGTAAGGTTTTGGAGTCATGTTTATCACGACGACTTGGGCTTTGCGGCATTCGGGAGTTTTGGGAGTCCGGCATGAATATAACAGTCACCGCTGTACCATTCGAAGACAGCAGATGGAGATCACTCATAAAAGATTTCAGCAAGCCGAGCAGTTCTGTGTGATGTACTGATCCGGAGAAAGACTGCAATGTCTGTCAAATACAGGAAACTGATAGGTATAGACGAAGGAGTACCTTGAATGATAACCTCAAGATCAAGGGCTCTTGATCGGTAACCCATGATTCCAAGATATTGACGTACTCAGGTAATTGTTGGCCAAGTGCGTGAGCCACTGGCTTGAAAGCCGACACGTTAGGTAGGCAAGATAGGAGTGTCTAGGGTTAATCGCAAGTCAGTTCGAATACCTCTTTAATACAGCCCGCGCCAGCAATCTATATCGGGTTTCGACTACCTGCACATTCTCCCGTTTCCTGTCCTCGCTGTCAAAATACTTCAGGCAATAACCATCAGCTGTTCCAGCATCATCTTCCGATTTGCCATCCGTGCTCCAGTTGAGGGGATTGTTATGCAAAAACGTAGCTCGAGAGTCACAGTGGACTAGGCCCTGCTTGTATTCCTTTTGAATGGAAGATTCTACCGAGATAATTATTGAAAAATGAATGGTTGCTTCACAATATCAGCATGTCTGGAAAGACCTACCAATGACAGGGTCTAGCCCATGCAGAATGATCAAACTGGATCTCAAGTCCTGGTCATCATTTGAAGTACCGAACAACGACGGCTGCATTCCTCCATATCTATCTAAAATCTCGACAATACTTCGGTCAACTGTCCTGAGGGGTGTTGTGGTCGAGGACCTCATTCGATAACTCAGGAGTCGTTGGGCAGTATCATTTGATAGAAACGGAATCTCTGAGCCTTCTGCATTGGCGCTTGAATCTAATGCGAAGATGGATGCATCTGGATTGCTGATAACCGATGTAAACGTCGCTGACAGAGCAAAAAAACCAAGATACTTGTGCATGTTGATAGATAAACTTGGACAAAAGATCGTGGGCTGATTTCTCCAGATCCGCTACCTAGATCGGCGTACTCTCTATTTTGGCAGCTATGCCCAGCTACCTAGCTAAGGTAGCATGACTTAGGTAATCTCTGTGATGAGATTATCACGTGCAGGAATGATCAGATCAGTCACCTTGAGCAGCGCAATGGGATCAGCTCCGATTCACGACCAGAGCTCTGCGGCTGACATTGACAATTTCTCGCTTTACTTGACCCAGCGGCCTGTGTAAATCCTCGTATCTATAATTTTTCTTTCTTGTCTTTTTATCTTCTCCTTCACCTCTCCATCCCACCTCCCACTTCACTATTTCCTTTGTAAGGGACATATACTGGCGAAGCTTCATGACGTTTCTGTCCAAATCAAAGACCACAATCAGTTGCCATCCCTATCCTTGAGTATGATCTTCGGCTTAGAGAGACCGCGGCAAAGTCATACCAGATATTCCAAATGAGGCCACTTCTTTTTCTTTTTCGAATAGCTTTTCGTGCCAATCGTTCTTTTCCCCAGAGCGATCCCAACAACGTCAATGTTCGCCATGTGAGATCTAAACAACCTTGGTTTAAGTGTGTAGACCGCCATCCCTTTGCGGTGCCTTGCACGGCATACAACTTGTTTTTTGCCAAAATTGACCTGAGTCGCCAGAAAGTTCGTTACTACATGTCTGCTATACGGGGCCGCATTTAATATATGGGGTTCGTTTGTCCTCGGGAAGTACGATAAGGTACTTGAAAGCGCACCAGATGAGGCTCATCCCGAGAAAGACTTTCCAGAAAAGAAGGTTATGGCCACTGAACGAACTGTGAGCCGTCCGGAGGAGGGTGCAGCCTCAGATCCTTTTTTCATTCCTTTGGGTTGGCCGCGCCTGCGTGAAGGCAAGTTCTATTCCTCGTCGGACCCGGAGTGGAGAGAGTTCGTTCGTATGTCTCGCGATGGAAGGAAGCTCGAGTCGCTGAAAGGTATCTCCTAACTCGTGTAATAACCCTTTCGAAGTAATGCTTACTCGCCCAGATGACCTAGCAATCATAGCTATGCGCAATGCATCCGCATCAAACATACTTCTTCAACTTCTTGGTGGACCGCTGACCATAACTGGTTTCTGGCTCGTTCACCACTTCCCGTCTCGTGCCCCGCCTGAATATGCATTGTCAGGGTAAGTCATATCAAAGCAACATATCATGCAAATCCTAATTTACTCATTATCGTCAGGTTAGAAATAGCTGATACTGAAATTTCGTGGGCTGTGAGACCAGTGTCCTCAGATACTGGTGATCGTATTCGAAAATGCATGAGGCCTCTCTTTGTGGCGCTTGCTGCAAGAGACGCGTATCTTGTATTAATGAAAAGACAACTTTCGCGCATCGGTTTCCCGGTGTCTGATAAGATTCAAGTCGGTACTGATTCACTGGTCATGCCGCCATCCGGGACCGGGTTTACAGGGCTCATTGACGGTTCCGCTGGTTATCACAGAGCGAGGTCTCAACTATCTTCTGCGGATGAGCCCGATGAGAGAGTAACACAGCAAAACAACCCATGGCTCAATCCCTCGTCAGTTCTATCCTCTCTTCAATGGTTACCACTGCCGAATTTAGGTCCCGAGTCGGATTTGCGTGCGGCTGCAGTAGCTTTTAAATGGCGGTTAAATGATTGCTGGGCTCGCGAGTTGCGCACTCCTCGCCGCGGCACCTTCTTTATCGTCGGTCCAGTTGGTCTCAAAGGCCCCAAAGGATTCTGTAGGGTCGAGGTTCGGGGTGAGTACGACCCGTCGACTTCTCGCTGGACGCATGTTTCTATGCAACTCAAAGACTTGAATATCTTCAAGCAGAGAGCTCTTGGTAGCCGATGAACAGTGTCGACAATTATTCATGCTCATTGCATCCTTACTGCTATGCTCACTCTAGCCAAGACGCCCATAAAATTACTTCAGTTGTTAAGCATGGACTGAGAATGATCACGTCGGCCAATCACATTCAGACGGGCAGAAAATGACTGTGATTCAAGATGTTTATGATCTATACTTAGCCTTACAGATGATTAAGGGTCCTCTTTCTTGGAAGCGCGGGGAAGCATAATATAGGGACGACAAAGGCCTTCCACGATTGGTGCCAAGCATACAGCTTGAGCATAAGTATCATAGAGGAACTTGGGAGCACCGCTACTAGATAGACGCAGAGTAGTGCAAGTAGCCGATTCCGTAGGGCTTGCAAGGGTCTTGATAATGATGTGGATATATATTCCAGCAACAAATTCTCACGACGACATCTTTCGAATTCTCAGGCTGTCAATTAGATGCATGCGTATCCAACGAAGCAGATAATCATTCACAGTTCTCCTTGCTTCGGGGACGAGGTGTAATGTTCAGAACTTGGCCCTTCACCAAGTTATATACCCGGCAGCATCGTTTCTAAAATTCTACGGAACAGCCGCCATAGCTACGAGGGTCGAGTTCGAGACACGGGTTTTAATTACCCAAATTTAGGTTATACGCAAATCGAATACGCGAGCGCACACGAGAGCACCTGCGAGAGAGGAAGCATACCTGCCATTCTTCACTTGAATGAGCAGAGAGTGTGAAGAAGCAAGTCTGATAATTTGGGCAATCAAATCGGCAATGGGTTGCTGTTAGTATGAAGTTGCTCATGGGGCAAGGGTTATTCATTATGCCAGAGCCATCTGCGAATGTCTAGTGCGGCAACATATAGATTGATCGTGCGATTGATATCCATTTCTCCAATCATGGATGTAAAGGCAAGAAACTCCAGCTATATTCCATAAGCCCGAATGGGCTCTGACATCATGATCTAGGTGATTGGCAAGCCCAGAATCAGCAACGAATTCGCGACTACACAGAGGGAGCGGTGATCGCCCAGAAACGTAGCTGAAATTTCTTGAAATCACACGAAGTCAAGCTACGTGTCACGGGCATCGCACCAGGACGTAGAAGGCCAAGGAGAAAGAGAAAAAGAAAAGCAAAAGGTTTCAGCGTACGTTGGTATCAATAACCTCACTCATGTGCGACAGCTAGAGTGATTTTTCATTTCCATGGCTCGAATGGTATATAACCATTGCTGCCCTGCCCAGGAATAACCCTCCTTGGACTGTGCGCCCGTCAGTGCTTAAAGAGAAATCAATTGGGCTCGCAAAATGTATCTATCATTACCATAGTCACTGGGAAACCGGAGGTTGATAATTCAGGGGCCGCCTAAGAAGCCATCAGTCCATCGTAAAATACTTCTTGCATCATCAAGTGCTTACTTAAAAAGGAGGATATGTGGCTCTGGTTCATGGACCTCGTAATGTTCCCACCCCAGACTCTAGACAAATAGGATTAGCCGCAGTGAGGCAGAACGCGAGTTTCGCGGTGCACTTCGTAGTACCTGAGTGATACCGAGTGCCCTCCATTCTTCCTCCCATAGCAATTTCAGCGTTCCTTTTGAGCTATCGAAATAGTCGGCGGGAATCTTCTTCAGCATGTTTTTGGGGAGCTGAACATGTCGGTACTCAAACTGGTCGTCAGAATACCTGTGCCTGTCAATTCGGCCCTTGTGTACGTGGGTCAGATGCTCGTACCTCGCTGAGTAGTGTATGGAGTCAATGAATTCCTCGAGCCGCTCTCTTTCGGATTCCAACAGAAGGCGGGGCTTTTTATTCCTCCTGCTTAAATCGATATCCATCTGGAGAAGTGCGGAGTTTGGATCGTTTCGATTGGGATCTTAGACTTTCGGCCTGACTGTCATTTAGCACCTTACTCGGGATCTGTCTTTGTTTCCAAAGAGGCCATATGCCATAGAGTTACTGAGGCAGAATTCTGATGAGGTGCGCAGGGGACACGTACAAATTTGGACTTCTAAACTTTGATTGGAGCCAGCTTGATAGAGCTCGGGCGTTGATAATAGTTGTAGCGAGTTTTGACTGTTAATTTCCAGTAGTGACTGTGGTTAAGAGGCTGCTATTCAGGTTTTGGAACCACAGGTGGTATGGATCTGGTAAATGGGTATATAGTTAAATATTATTACTGACCAGGTTAGGAAAATTCCAGTTAAGATAACGGAGGACAATAACTTGGTTGCTTGGTGTGGGACCACTTTGCAACTTGAGCAGTCTAGGTACGTACTTTAGGTAACTTAGGTGCTCAGCTCTGAGAGGCACCCTTCTGATAATAACCACTTGCTATTGTGCGTTGCTGAGACGTGATTCAGGAAGACTGCTGACTGCAAATTATTTACGTCCTATCTGACAGGATTCTCTGTATCTTCCTTCGAGTAGTACGCATCTAAGGCTGCAATAATTTGTACTTAGTAGCTGTGGAGTCCCAGATAGTACATGAATCATCTTTGAAAAACCGTCACTCTCTGAAAGATTTAGCTCTATTTAAGTTTCCGGAAAGTATTAAAAGAGAGGTTGTCATGCAATGTTTTTCTCTCTACGTCAGCTTTTATTATTCCAATCGAGCCTATCCTCTCATCGTAGAGTGTAGGACTTGATCATGCCTTAGTACCTCCGAGAGTTACTAGGTATATGATGCTGTTGTTCTCTACAGGTCTAACTGCTGCTAGGTACAATGTACAGGACATCGAAGTAGTGGTTGTTATACTTATGTAGGTACCTTAGCTAACAGCCAAGTCTTTATAGTACGACTTTTAGGAGCAGCGTAAATACCGACTGTCCTAAGTAAGATGCCTAAGTTGATTCTCCATCCCCTTTCAGACATGTCCAACATGTCCGTGTCCCCGTCATGGTTAAGGGAGGTTCCGAGGAGACCTACTAATTATCTTCTTCCTCTGGGGGAAAGATGTCCATACACTGCGGATATCCCACTTTCTTTGTCTAAGGTACCTAAGCATCCTCACGCGCTCTGTAATATACTTGATTGAGTCTTTTAAGGCACTGCCCTCTATGATAACCTTGATTGGATAATATAAGATTGCCTTTCCATTACATCTGCACAGAGTCTCATACTCGTATTCTCAAGCAAGAGGTTAGGTAGTAATTTGAATGTGGTCACAAGCTGAAGAGGGGCATCAAAAAAAAAAGGAACTAGACCATATTCAGGACCAGATTAATCTTTTTAAGTAGTAAGGTAGACATTGAATCTATTCAAGTACTACAGAGTATGTATTAGGACAATATAACAGATCTCAATAAGGATTTGCCATTGCTACCAGACAAATGACTGAAGAATTTTATAGTCGCGGTAATGGTTGAGATTACTATAACCATGGCCGTTGACCTTTGAAATCTTCTTCTCTAACCATGGGGCTGAAATGGGGAAAAGAAAACTCGACGGGAGGCGAAATCAAAAAGGAAAAATTGGGAAAAAAAAAGTGAAAAAAAAGGCGAAGTGGGTTCGGACTTAAAGATCAACCGCTCCCACACTGACCCTTCGTTCAATTTTCTTATCCTCTCTTCCCCCAACTCTTCCCACCTCCTTCTAGGTGCTCTCAATTCATATTCTGCATTTTTCTTCAATTTTTCTTTGTTGATATTCAGTGCGAATTGAAAGCAATATGTCGGACGAAGTCTACGAAGGCGCCATCGGTATCGACCTTGGTAAGCCATCTGTTTTTTTTTTTTTTTTTTCCTTTCCTTTTTTTAAGGATTCACCCATATACCTTAACACGCTCTTCACGAAGAAATTGAGTTTTGCTAATGCATTTATCCAGGCACAACCTACTCCTGCGTCGCCAACTATGAAGGCACCAACGTTGAGATCAGTATGTTTTTCGAAGGCACCAGATTCGGCAGGAATAGGCCCTGACTTAGACTCATCCTACAGTTGCCAACGAGCAGGGTAGTTACACAACCCCGTCATTCGTTTCCTTCACCGAGAAAGAACGCTTGATTGGTGAGGCAGCCAAGAACCAGGCGGCTATGAATCCGAAGAACACCATTTTTGACATCAAGTGAGTGAGGACCAAGCAAGTCTCTTGCATTGTCTACCTCTCCCATTTAAGCTTCTTTTATTTACAAACCTAGGCGTCTCATTGGTCGGCGTTATGAAGATCCCATCGTGAAGAAGGATATCGAGTCGTGGCCTTTCAAGGTTGTTGACCAGGGCGGAAACCCCGTTGTCGAGGTTGAATATCTTGGTGAAAGCAAGACGTTTTCTCCCCAGGAAATCTCTTCTATGGTCTTGATGAAGGTATGCCGCCGATCTACCTAATATATTATTCAAGCATCGTTGACCTTTATTCGATTGATAGATGAAAGAAGTCGCAGAGACCAAGCTTGGAAAGAAGGTCGAGAAGGCTGTCATCACCGTGCCAGCTTATTTCAACGATAATCAACGTCAGGCGACGAAAGATGCTGGTGCCATTGCCGGTTTGAATGTTCTCCGCATCATCAATGAGCCCACTGCTGCCGCTATCGCCTATGGACTCGGCTCCGGGAAGTCTGAAAAGGAACGTAATGTCCTGATCTATGATCTTGGTGGAGGCACTTTCGATGTGTCTCTCCTCAACATCCAAGGAGGTGTCTTCACTGTTAAGGCCACAGCCGGTGATACTCATCTCGGTGGACAAGATTTTGACACTAACCTCCTTGATCACTTCAAGAAGGAGTTCCAGAAGAAGACTGGAAAGGATCTCTCAGGAGATGCCAGGGCTCTTCGCCGTTTGAGAACGGCCTGCGAGCGTGCCAAGCGTACACTGTCTAACGCCACACAGACAACTGTTGAGATTGACTCTTTGTTCGATGGAGAGGATTTCAACTCGTCTATCACTCGTGCCCGCTTTGAGGATCTCAACGCTAAGTCTTTCTCTGGCACCCTTGAGCCAGTGCAACAAGTTCTCAAGGACTCTGGCCTTGAGAAGCGCCAGGTTGATGAGATTGTCCTCGTCGGTGGCTCCACTCGTATCCCTCGGATCCAGAAGCTCCTCAGTGACTTTTTCGACGGCAAGAAGCTTGAGAAGGTCAGTTGGCATCAGTCCTTCAAGGTTTGCAGGTCGTGTCCTCAAAGCTAACGTTTGTGTAGAGCATTAACCCAGATGAGGCCGTAGCTTATGGTGCCGCTGTGCAAGCTGGCATTCTTTCTGGTAAGGCTACCTCGGCTGAAACTCAGGACTTGCTCCTTCTGGATGTCGTTCCCCTTTCCCTTGGCGTTGCCATGGAGGGCAACATTTTCGCCCCCGTGGTTGCCCGCGGTCAAACCGTCCCCACCATCAAGAAGCGCACCTTTACGACCGTTGTAGACAACCAGACGACCGTTCAGTTCCCAGTTTACCAGGGTGAGCGCACGAACTGTGCAGACAACACTTCCCTGGGCGAGTTTACTCTCGCTCCTATCCCTCCTATGAAGGCTGGCGAGGCCGCTCTTGAAGTTGTTTTCGAGGTCGATGTCAACGGTATCCTTAAGGTCACCGCTACGGAGAAGTCCTCTGGCCGTACCGCCAACATTACCATCTCCAACGCCGTCGGCAAGCTCTCCACCACGGAAATTGAGCAGATGATTGATGGTATGTTGACTGCGTTGTCTCGCTGTTTCCTTTAAAGAAGTAAACCTAACATTGGTATAGACGCTGCTAAATTCAAGTCGAGCGACGAGGCCTTTACCAAGAAATTTGAGTCTCGTCAGCAGCTCGAATCTTACATTTCTCGCGTTGAAGAGATCATCTCAGACCCTACCATGTCCCTGAAGCTCAAGCGCGGAAACAAGGAAAAGATCGAGTCTGCACTGAGTGACGCTATGGCTCAACTTGAGATTGAAGATTCTGCTCCTGAGGATTTCAAGAAGAAGGAACTCGCGCTCAAGAGACTCATCACCAAGGCTATGGCTACCCGGTAATCTGAATACGAACTTCCTTGAGTTGTTATCACTCAGTCATTCGTCTCATTCTCTACCTCGGTATTACCGTTCCCTGCGGATGTGTCTTTCCTTGCGATTTGTGAAGAGATCGAAATTTGTCTCTAGGGCTTGTTACAACCATTCCCAACGATCCATGTACGGAAATGTCGGAAATGTGCTCTATTTCTCCTCCGGTTTCTTTTTGTCCCTTTTCATGTCTTGTGTCCCTTGATTTGGTGCACATTATCTAAAAGTTCATTCTAGATTAGATGAAATCCGTCCGGGGAAGAAATTAATGATTTGATGAGCCTAGTACTTCTATTTGCTTTTTGGCTTAGACATATGGTAGACATCATAGGTGATGTCAAAGCTATGACTCGCGACGGTGCGAAGTTGAGGCCGTGAAATTTACTTCCCTTTATACAAACCTTTTATATGCTCCTTTCCTATTTAATCAGTAAACTGGAATAATGACTCCACCTTCACCCATTAAAAGCCTGCTAAGTCTACTTCTGGGGAAAAGTGCTTTGAGCTAAAAAGTATCATATTCTGATTGGTCTTGCGCTAGTGTTGATGAAGCATGTATGTTTTTGATTCCCAAGATTCCCAACTTTTTTCGCCACAAATAAAACTTCCAACAGCTCACCGTCTATGCAAATTCTAGAAGATGCAGCGGCTACAACGACTCTCAATTCTTTCTGACATTCCTCGATCTTTTTATTCTGCGAATTTCAGCGCAACCGTGTTTGACGCATCTCAACCCTGGCGGTTCCCAACTCCTAAGCGATTCAATCTCACAACTCGAGGCTTCTCTAATTCTGTCTCTCTGTGCAAGAAAAAGGACAAGTCTCCGAAACTCACTGGGGCAAACACAGAGTCGAGCATTTTGTCGGAAAATCCCTATGATCTTTCTTCGCTAGAAAGTGGCATCGTAGCTGCGGTGGCCCGACTTAAAGATGAGCTTTCCAAATTACGCATGGGTGGACGTTTCAACACGGAATCACTTGAAGATTTGAGAGTGTCTTTGAGCAAAGGAGGCAAGGAAACAATAAGACTGGGTGAGCTGGCGCAGGTTGTTCCCAAGGGAGGGCGGATGGTTACTATATTGGCTTCAGAGGAAGAGGTAGGACTTCGTTCAGTTCCAAACCAATTGTGGAACTCGCGTGGCGTCTATTCAGGGTTGCTAATACTATTCTCGTTCTAGCACATGAAGCCGATCTCATCTGCGATTCTTTCTTCCGGTTTGTCTCTAACACCACAACCTGATCCTCATAATATTCTCCAACTGAATATATCGATTCCACCGCCCACGAAAGAATTACGTGAACAGACGGTGGTTGCTGCTAAAGCGGCCATGGAAAAAGCAGCTGGTGCAGTTCGCGAATCGAGGAGTGTTAGTCATAAGCGCCTTCAAGATATGCAGAAGAAGAAACTAGCCCGGCCAGATGACGTTCGCAAAGCTCAGGACCAAATGGAACGGCTAGCAGAGAAGGGACAGAAAGAGGTGAAGGAATTGTTTGATGCTGCAAAAAAGGCATTAGAACGAGTATAGTCAGATTATCATTTTGTCGAATATGCCAGCTATACTCGTTCCCAATAGGACTATCATCAGTGTCGCATATTTAGCCAATGGTTCCCCCTTAAAAATACAGAATATAAGTACAAACGAAAAAAAGGTAGCCACTGGCGATTGATGCGAGTTGAAGCAAGAGAAATCAGTTCAGCCCGGAGCCGTCCTTCACCAGCACGCTTTCAGACTTTTTTCGCGGCTGCAGGGCGACCTGAAGCAAGAAGCGATTCAATTTTTGAGATAAGTTGTGAACTCTTTCCGGCACTCCGGTACGTCTCGTTATTATTGAGGTTCTTCACAACCTCAGCAAGGACGGATGGCTTATCGGCCAATACTGTCTCCAGTTTTGGGTAGTTTCCTTGAACGAGCTTTTCGACCAAGGCTCTCTTGTCCAGGGCACTCATCTGCTTAAAACCCACATCTTCAGGTTCCACAAGATCTCCTTTTCTCTGTGAGAGGGTATCGGCACGTTTTCGTGCAAGCTTTTGCGCCTCCGCCACTGCATTATTTTTCTCATCCTGATTGAGAAACTGGACGCTTCGCCCTTCGAAAAGTCGCTTGCCCAGTTCATGAGGGGGCACATAGCCATTCGGGAAGCGGTCGCTCAGCCAAGAAAGCTTTTCAACAACGCCTGCAGTCCGGCCAGTGACGCCTGTCGGTAAAGATGGCCAAGTCTCCGTCAAATTAGACTCAGGGGGTTGCGGTGTATAGCGAATAGGAACAGGCACGGATGCCTTGGACAGTTGGACATATGCTTCTTCAACCTCAGCCTGCGAGATTTCGTCCACCTCCTCAACGTCTGTGCGCTTTCGCTGTGCCCTCCCATTACCCTGCTTCCGCCCCTTGTGTACGGCAGTCTGAGTGCGATGTATAGTCCCGGATCTACGACCCCGAGTTTGCACTCCGGTCCTAGATCTCTGAAAACGGGGGCTCCGAATAATATTGGACGGTAGACTGCCGGCTTTCGGAACAGCGAGCGATCTCGCGTCAATCACGCGCTGGGGTGGATTCCGACGAGAAGTGACATTCACATTTGAATTACTGACTGTCCCAGATGCAGCGGAAGAGGATGCAGAAACCCGAGAGACAGACCGAGTTGCTGCATTGCGATGATCTGTACAGTCAATGACACAAATATCAGTAAAGAGACATAAACGATACCGAACTGGGAAACAGTGCATAATGCTATATCTTCACGTACTTCGTTGACTGGAGTGATTATTTGCCTGCTGATGGGAGAGCGTAAAGTATCGTACAGAGGTAATGATTCCATCAACTGGCATCCTACGGTCACGGCAACTCGCCAGAAACCTCACCTTCGTTTGGAACATTTTCCTCGCTGTGTTTGGCGGAGATGATGAGAAATTTCTTGTGTACTGTCCTTGATTACAAACGGCTAGCTCCGGGCAATTGACAACTCATCACGTGGTAATCACGTGGTATCCAGTCCACCCAGATCCGAGTTTGTTTTTCTCTAGACTTGCATGAGTGTATATTCCAAAATGCTACGTCGCAAGCCTACAGCTATCGCAATCACTTCGGAAGATGTCGCAAAGCTTGAGGACATGCGGCTTCGCAAGCGCAGAGAAGGAACTCAAGCCCACGCGCCTGAATCTATCAAAAGCACCTTGAGTCATACCGCCATCAACCCGAATGATGAATTGAAACCATTACCTGGAGACAAAGCGAGAATTGTCCGCTCTCGGGAGGAACGTATTGGCATCAGTCGGCGCAACTAAGTACAACATGACTTAGTAAGCTTAGATTCATTTTGGTGACCCAGTTCGATATTCTTGACACTGCTTTCTCACTTACCCGAGTTGGACTGCAGATCGTTATCATCTCTTGTCACGGCTTTCCTTCTGATGTCTGTCCTCCCTTATGACAAGAGCATGAAGGGTTGATGATTTGTTCCCGGCCGATCTCCATATACGCAGGCATTTTCTGTAGCCCAATTTGGCGACTTTCTCCATGGAAGGCAGGGCTTTTAAGCCCGTGCTCCTAAGAATAGTATCTATACAGACTTCGATTGCATTAGGCTTTTGACATGTTACATCAAGGGCATTGTAGACGAAATATCTTGTGGTCAAACAGAATTTATATACTACAGTGTTGACTATAAGGCTGGCAAGTCGACACGTTAATCTCTGGAGATCTCACCCTCTCGGGCTTGTATGATAGGAGCCGTGGCCCTACCCAGGGGTGAGAGAGAGACTACTCCAGTAATGAGAGAACGAGAACAATGAGCCATGATTCTCCATGACATTCGTCTTATAGGCTCAAATGAAAGGTTTGCAGATAATGAGCCAAAGTCGGTGAAGCATAGTGAACATGAGCACAATGATTTTTACCGCTGGCGTTTGGTGTTACTCTGCTCGCCAGTATCAATTGAGTGTGCCCACCTCCGCTTCAAGCCATTGGGATCATATACACTAGCAACGCTCTGTTGCCAGTCACGTGCCGTGAACAGGACTGGGTGTCCATTAAACTGAGTTTGAGGTAGAGGTTGGGAAGGTGCGATAGAAGAGACTTTCGTATGTGTCTCATAGTGAACAGGAAACTGGTTCGATATACCAGTGGTTCCTTGTGTAGAATGGTCTATGCCCATCGGCGGCGAGTTTGTACTCACATTTGACGGGCCGGCAGGGAATGCCAGGTCCCACTGGCTGATGAAGACGTCAGCAAACAACTCTCAAACAATCAAACAGGCAGGGAAGTACATACTTTATGATTCGAGTGGGATCCCAGTTATTTTCGTCAACTAAGGGAGCATCTACCGAATGACTGTGATGTGGGTGCGGTGCAACCATTACCAAAGGTTGAAGCTGACATGAGTCAGGCTTTGAGTCCTCAGTACCAGCCGAGATTGGAGGGGTCATTGGGTAAGCATAACACACTCTGTTCCGCACATTACTTGGAATCTGGTCCAATTGAGCATGGTAATTTGACCCAAGTGGTGGGCTGGGATGGTACGGTTCCGAGGGACTCCCGTAAGGAAATGTAGACTTGAGTTCGAAAGGGCGATTGATGTCAGCGGAGAACGCGAGCCGCAGGGAGTCAATCTGTGCCTGTATTTCGCGCATAGGCCAAGCCGAAGAACATTTCTCAAGGATACGCATGTGTCGCGTGAAGTAGTCTCTCGCATCCGTATGAAAATGAGGATCAGGGGATGTGATAGCAATCTTGGAAGAGTTAATGCATGCAGTACCAGATAGCACAATCACGTTACACTTACCAGATGCAGCATAGTGCATGTCAGAATGCAGTATATTGCGAAATTGATACCTCTTTGCATGAACAGAAGACCGCGCAGGCCGAACCGGTCTAAGATACCTTCCTGAAGCCTACACAGGCTTTTTGCGGAGGAATAGCACAACGCCATGTGAATCTTCCATCCTCCGCCGGCCGCAAAAGACTTGGACGCTAACAACTGTGGTCGATGTAATAAGATGATGCCGAGATGGCAATGCGAGTGCATATTCCCAACAAAATGTGAGGGTATCCATGGCGGCGAACCATCGCTAGGATAATTAATCTGTAAGTCTTGAGGGAGGCTTTGGAGCCAATCGGTAAAAAGTGGGTTTTTTTCAACAAATCTAGGATTGGCTCCCCAGTCTTTCTGCTTCTTGATTTTGTGATATATATCGGTGATCAAACGGATATGATAGGCGTTTCTCACAAAGTATGCATATTGCCTCGAGCGGTCAATTTCGAACTGGTCAAGGCCCTCTATATCTAGAGTGGGCCGCATATCTACGGTCTCTGGATCTACCCCGTAATCCGATCGGCCTAACAAGATCAGTCAAAGCAGTCAAAGCAAACGAAGTCACGTTAGCGGATATAGACATACCTTGTGGTGCACCGATCATCACTTCGACAACCAAGAGGGCTTGCCATACTCTTGTCTGCACAAGACATTCCACTGAATCCATTTCACAAGGTCTGCCCTGTGCGTGGGTATCGTAATGTTCATGGATGTCTAAATCCTTCGACATCGACACAATTGTTTTCACAGTTTGCCACGAACGATAATAATAACCCTTTTTCGGCAGAGACTCTCGAGCTTTCAATAGCAAAAGCAAAGCCTGAATCGTGCTTAAGCGTGGTACATCCATGAAACTGGACTCATGCCCTATCATTGTATGAGCATTGGTTATTTACTGTTTGTGCTCCATGCAAAGCATACAAAGTGACTAACTTACTGTTTGCCAATGCGAGCCACTGTGCGCCCTGAGCCGGATCGTCTGATAACCTGCCGGCACAAGCGAAAAGTGCTTCGAGGAGTAGAGGAGATATGGAACTCCGTTCATTCTGCCACTGGTAGTAAAGGTGAGACCGATGAACCACAGGAACGTAAGGATGTATATCGTTAAAGTAAATCTTGAAGTAATCCATCACTTCGTCGTCGGAGGGCATTAGCTCTGGGGGGATACGGATGGTGGAGCCCGCCCCAGTGCTTAGAGGTGGCAGTCTTTCCTCAATTTCATCGTGAACTGGAGCTTCCGCTTCCAATCGCTCTTTTCGTTGTTGCCGAATATAGGGTGCTTGATTTGCAATATCAGCAATCGTCTCTTAACGCCAAAGGACTGACGATATCTATCTTACCGATACCAGTTTCGTCGATTTTCAATTCACCCAGAACCTCGCTAAGGTTCTCGGCAGTAGATTGATCGTCGTCCGAGAAGATGCCAGTATTCGAGTTATCAAGACCATGATTTGGACTGGTGGGAAATACTTGGGCATGCTGGAAGGAATGGCTTGTCACGGGTAAATGCGATGACCGTACTTCATAGATATTGTGTTGGGTGGGACCAGTCGGGACGTATTGAGACATGATTCCGGCACCGTCGCTATAGGACTGACCATTCCCAGCAGTAGGCTGCATTCCAGCGCCGAAGCTCTGAGGCATTGTATAGGAATAATGCGAGGCTGAAGTCGCATGAGAAGCTCCTAAGGTGCCCATTGAAGTTGCCTCAAGACCT